TTGACTTATATTATAACTTAGAGGATTAATCCTTTATAATGAAAGTTAATGTACATACCATTATTTATTAGATCATGGAACCATATTTTTTTAATTTAATTAATTTATCTTAAATTTAGAAAATTTGACATTAATTTTTGATTTCAAGCCTAAATTAATTTTTCTTCTCTTAATTTTTCTACTTATTTTTTCTTCATTTATTAGTTTAATTATTTAGAAATCATCTATTATTGATAACTATTCAATCATATACCAAATAAAAGAATTATTTCTTTTTGATCTTTTTTGTTAAATTCCAATATCTGATAGTATTATATTTTTAAAATTGTATTTCTATTACAATGTATAAAAAACATATACAGAAATAGATTTAATAAACAACTCCTCAAATTGGATATTCTAATTTATAATCAAGCTCATACCAAAAACTTAAAAGAGATCTATTATCTCTAAATAACAAAAAGTATTAGCAGATAAAAATATTGTCTTATCCTCAAGGTTTGAAAAGCTTACACTTAAATAATTTATTATGGACAGTCAAATTTCAGAATGATATTATTTTACTTTAGAGTATAAATGCAGTTTTATATTAAATGTTTTTGAAAAAGTTCGTATAAGGGCAATGATTGAATAATTTCATAAATTAATGTAATCAATTATTTAGGGTAAAAATCTTGTTAGAAAAATAACTTATGATAGATAACACAAAAACTCTAAGACATAAAATAAATGATATTTTTAATCTTATTGTATTACAATAATTTAAAATATTTCCTGTGAAAAATAAATTAAAATGATTTAAATATCGACTTTCCTCGAGTAAGTACAATTGAAATATATTGAGGAATTTATGCATATAAGTTTATCATTTAGATTAATTTATGTTTGTAATTTACATAAAATAAAATTTTTGATGTATTTTAAAATCAAAAAGCTTATAAACAGTATATTTCCCAGGGTTTTAACTGCAATACATTTAAGATCAATCGACTTCTGTAACTTTATAATTATTTCTGAATGAAAAATATATTATAAGGTTAGCTATAATACTTTGTAGAAAAGAAGAATCTTTAAACTTCAAATAAATAATTAAGATATTTATCTTTTTTGTGAAAAACTTCTTTTAATTTCTGATCCTTAGAAATTTATCTTTATCATGAATTGGTGTATTATTTCTAATTAATTTGATGATTTATTATAAATTTTTTACCCATTATTGTATTGATATTATTTCTAAAAAATTATAAATTTTCTGTCTTTTAATAGATATAAAGTTTCTAAAATGTCAGAATCTTAAACAAGTGGATAGACTGAATTACCTATTTAAGAGTAACAATATAATCAGTAAATTTTTTTACGAAATAGTAAAACTTCAATTGTAAGATCAGATGAAAAAAACATTTAATCTTTTTTCTTATAAGAATTAAGCCAAAAGGGATTTTAAATAATCAATTTGGACAAAAGTAACTCCCTATTCATTAATGAAAACGTTATTTTTTATTGTAAAATAGAGACTATTGAAAAATTTTATGATTTTTTATGTTTCATGAATTATTGCTATAATTGTGAAGGTAAGTAGTATTAAATATTTTATGACTAAAATTAAAATCCCATTTATAAGATAGAAGAAGGGAAGTTTTACATTTTTATGTCGAGAAAAAATATATTTGCAATAAATAGTAAAGGTAAAGAATATTCTGGAAAGTCTAATTTGATCAAATAAGAAGGTTCTTTTTAAAATGGAAAACCAGAAGAAATATAATAAATAGATAGGGAATTTTAATAAATGGCCAGTCCATATTCTGAGAAAATAATTATTAAAGATATAGAAACTGGAAGACAACTTAATTCTGGAATTAAAAAAAATATATTTTAAACTTAAGCTGTTTGGTGTAAATTTAATTAATAGTTAAATGAAAAGGATAAATAAATTCTGAGCTAAAGATGTTGGTTAAATAGCAGTATTATTGATGCTTATGTCTTTTTTCTTAATTTAGAAAATGAAAAGAAATATTTCAATAAGAATGTTAAAATTAGAAGTTAACTTTAATAAATTTTATTAATCCCAACAACTTTTACTAGTAATTTAGGTACTTCTTATACATTAGAAAAAGCATAATCGCTTTTTTAACAAGAATTGCTTTAATTTTAAGATTTGAATTGGAATTTAAAACTAGTGTATAAATGTATCGGCTTCCCAATTAATAGAAATAAAGCTCATTGGTATTTTTTGCTATTTCATTTATAAGACAATATTGTTGAGCTATTTGATTCACTTCCCTCAATTTCTTTTGATGATAATTTAGTTAAAACTTTAGAACAAATTTTATAATTAGGGCAATGTATTAGAAGTATAAAAAAGGATTTCTGTTTATAAAGAGATGGATATTCATGTGGATATTATGTTTGCTCGTTTATGCAATATATTTCAAACCTTTCTGATAATCCAAATTTAAAATATTAATATAATGAAGTTGAAATGAGAAAAGAGTTGTTAAATGTTATTCAGGAAATATATTGATAATTGAGTTTGTTAATAATTTAAATTTAATTCTTCAAAGGTAAATTTTAGATTTGTACAATCTACATTCCCAAATTAAAATTTGTTGTTTGCTGTCAGAGTTTAATCTTAATTCTTATTTGCAACTTTAAATATTAAATTTATTTCTATGACAATAATTGTTAAATTTTCAGTTTTATTTTTATTTAATTGAATTATTTTAATTCTGAATAATATATGATTTTCAGTTTTACTTTATAATATTTTCAATATTAAAATCTACCCTATAAAGATTAGATGATAAAGTCTAAATTAAATAAAAATAAAAAATAATTAAAAATAGATTTAATTGCAGTAATATTGATATTGTTTGAATCAAGTTCGCTAAGCATTATAAAGATATATAAATTACTTTATGCAAATTAATTATTTTAGAATTGTGGAGTTTTCAATTAAATTAATACCTCTTTGTAACATTTATCTGTTGATTCTATAGATTATCCTGTCTTAACATCCAATAAAAGTATAGAGTTATCATCAGGAGAGAAACAAACTGAAAAGACCGTACTAATATGACCATTTAATTTATTTGTCTATTACCCTGTCGTAGCATTCCATAAACGTATAGACTTATGAACACTATCAGATACTCAAGCATTTTCATCAGGAGAGAAACAGACTGATATAATTTGATCAGTATGACCCTCTAATTTATTTTTTTATTATCCAGTCTTAACATTCCATAATAGTATAGAATTATCATTACTACCTGTTGCCAAAGTATTTCCATTAGGAGAGAAACAGACTAAATAGACCGTACTAGTATGACCAAAAAATTTATCTAATTCTTGTATTTTTATATTCTTCCGTTTGCGATTAAATAATTATGCTCCATTCATATTGCTACTACTTATATCAAAATTGTTAAAATTTGATCCACTCAAATTACATCTTACAAAATTTCCACCGATTAGAGAAGTATTCTCAATCCTGATATTTTCGAGCACTAGTACTTTATATCTACCTTCATTTCCACTAATTAGTGAAGTGAATTTGATCCATATACTATGAAATATTCATCAATATAGTTATATTAACTAAAAAATTTTAAAATGATCTAATCTTTTTTTTTTTTGGATTTTCCTCATAAGATATTTTTTTATTTCTATATATTGTTCAAAATTCGAATCATTTAAATTAATGTCATTGTATTTATATTTTTGAGTGTATTAAGAATAATCTTAATGTCATTACCTAAAGTTTCTAACTTTTATCCTACATATGAATTTGATGAATTCTTAAATTTTATTCAGTTTTCTTTTCTAAAAATATTTATTTATGAGTGAATATTTCTTCATCCACAGAGAAAACGTTGGCAAAAATATCAAATAAGGTAGAATTTTCACAAAGTTTTTATATTCAGATTTTTATTTAACAGAATTAATAGTAAAATTATAGGAAACATTTATCAAACCTAAATTATTAAATCCTCATGTTCAATGGGAAAACTAAACTAAAAAACATTTTTGGAACAAATGACAAAAAAATCATAATGATCTTTTTTGCCAAGAATTAATTCAACTATTTATTGAATAAATAGAAGAATAGAAGAATAATAATAATTATTATTAAAACAGATAGCAAATGAATAATAAGGATAGGAAATTAAATAGATGTTAAAATAAGGAGGTTTTATAAATAGAATACTAATTAATATTATGATAATAATGGAAAAGAAACTATTTTTAGAATAATAATTAATTAAATTTTGAAAGAAATACAGTCGAATTAAATTTTGAATATAAATCAAGTTGAATATCTGAAAGCATTTCATAGTAGAGGATCGCCAATTTCCTCTTAATTATTTAACATTTATATGGATAAAAAAAAGTTTTCAACCAGAGGAGTTTTACCGATTTATAATAATTCTTATAATATTTATTAAATTATTTATACATAGCAAAATAATGATTATAACAAATCATTATAATAAATAAATTGATGCTTATTTTTGACTTGTTGAAGGAAAGAAATTTTTTCTTATTAAATTAGTAATCCATATATTCATATTGCCTTCTAATTAAATAAGAATTGAAATTTCTTTAGCTCTAATTTGAATTAGTTGGACAACTTATGAATTTAGCTCAATCATATTATATTTAATTGATAATAATTCTTCAAATTCTTGTTTTTCTCTTCTGCCTTTGAAAATTTTGTTTATAGCTTCAATTCTTTTTTATTTTTCTCTCTAAACAACGAATTATTTTGCCATTTCCATTATAGATAATTTATTGTAATTGAATTAGTTTGATAATTTTGAAAGTTCTAATTCTAATTAACTAGTATTATCTAAAATTTCTGAGAGCAATTTGATTTTTAATTGAATTGATAAAATATGCTATCCATATAAATTTTAATTATTGTTCTGTTGAGAAACTCCATTTCCCAATAAATTTTTGACTTGAATTTAATGATTTAGTTTAATTTTAACTAATATAATATAGATTACCTAAATGGTTAAGGACGAATGGATTATTAGAATCTAATTAAAATGCTTAAATGTAATCTCAATATGATTTATCGTTTTAATTAAGTTCTTTTAATCCATTCCTATATCAGTATTGTAATCCGCAAATGCCTAATCTTTATTTCCCATCTCTCAAAATATAACTCCTAGGTTACAAGAATATTAAGATAACCTCTATAATTATATATCAATAGATTCCAATTCAATAGCCTTGTATTATTCTCACCTACTCTTAAATTTAGAAGTCCTTTCCATAAAGTAATTGAAAACCTCTGTAACTATATGCTTAAACATCTTTTGGATCGAAATCAATAGCCTTGCTAAAATAAATAACTGCTTAATTAGTATTTTCCAATGTGGAGTGAATAATTTCTATTCAATAAATGTATTAATAACTTCTATTAAAATATATCTAAATAATATTAGAATCCAATTCAATAGCAAGAATTGCTACTCAGGATTCAATTCGATAACTTTGTTAAAATGTCTAAATGCTTTGACCTTATTTCAAATATAATAACACAAATTTCTTGCCAAATATCATATTTTAATACCCCTTTAAAGATACACCTTAATAAATTTTTTAGATCCAATTTAATGGCTTTCTTATAATCTAAAAAAAAATATTCTTAATTTTTCATTTCCTCATCCAGAACTCCTAATAAATAAAATATAATCTTTGCTTTATTTATAATGTGCTAGATAAAATTTATCAACAATTTAAATTGCATTATTATATTAATTCAATTTATCATGATAATGGCCTATAGTCTCATTGCTCTTCCTAAAAGTTTAATATTGTTCTAAACTATTCTTATGAATGCCAAACTATATTAACGATTGAGGTGAACCAAATCCTGATAATTCTATAATGCTTCAATCAACTAATCTTTTTAGATTATTCCTCTTCGCTAGAATAAATTAAATTAAATATTACTTTTGTAATCAAGATTATCCTCTATTAATAGTCCTAAATTTTTTATTTCAACTAAATCTTCATTTGTCCAATCAATTATATTTTTGTTTAAGTATAAATCTCATAAATTTATAATATTTCAAGAAACCTTCAAAATTAAAGTTTCTTAAAATAAACGATTATGCTTAAATGTTTCATTTACTAAGTCTAAGGCTTCTTCAATATCTAATTTTTGTAGATTTTACTAAAATAACATATATTTGATTTTACCAAGCAAAGAATACCAAATTTTGCAATTCTGATATAATCAGTATTTTTTTTATTTTGAGATATTTTAATTTTTAATTTCTCCTAAATATTCTCAAATTTTTTAAGTTGATCTCTCAAAATATTCATTGCGAAATAAAATTATGAATGATTAAATTCATTTTAATTTAATTAACTAACAAATATTATATTAATATTCACTTCTATTATTATTATATATGAATTTAGCATGATGATATTCCACAATTTATCTCAATTTGATGTTATTTTCATTGGTCAAATTATACCATTACTAAAATAGGTTAGAGGGCAATTTTTTAGTGAAATTATTAAGAAAATTTATTGATTGGACTGCAGAATACGAATAAGTAATTATATTATATAATATATCTTTAATATAAATTTGTTGTTTTGAATATGCCGATAAAATTATTGTTTATATTAATTTTTTTAAAATGTTTGTTATAATAAAATGAAAAGTATTTCTAATAAGAAATTACAAATAATCTATACAGGAACTGTATTAGAAAAATTTTAAGCGAATTGATTAACTAATTAAATTAGAAACTCATCAATATGAGTCTTCTAAAAGATGTAATGTATTGTTCATTCCAAATTTGTAAGAATTTATGGTAAAATATATTTATATAAAAG